CGGTGGGACCGCGACAAGAAGCGAAAATTTCAGGGACCAAAGTGCAAAACACGGGATTTTAAGCCCTAAACCCTATATTAAACGAAGGAAGCCGGCCAAAAGACAAGGGGGGACATATTTTGGACACAAATTAGACCTAAGGAAGGGCAAGAGGCAAGAAGGATCATTGGGCATCAATCTTTAATCTTCTTCTTTGTTCTTTTACCTTTGAATATGAATTCTTTTGTGATTTTTGTTATTTTCATGAGTAGCTAACTTTTTTAATCTAAGGTTTTGGTGAAACCCGTTGGGGATGAATTGGTTGTTATATTAATATAGTTTTGAGTTGGTTGTTGATCTCTATTTGTTCAACTACGTTTTGATTTTGGTTAATTGAAAGGATCCTCAGTTAGCCGTTCCTATTTATTATGTATCTTCTTGAGAGAGAGTGTATATTTAGGTAGTTGTTTGAACAACATCACTCCCGGAGTATAGGCGAGAGTCATAACCGAGGGTTTAGAGGTTGGATTAGAGATAACGATACCTCGGGTGCGATCTAAGTGAACTGTAATGCGAATCGAGCTAGCGTAGCTTGAGAGAGTGCGTCTAGTAAATTATCATAATTGCTTGAGAGAGATTTATGATAGCTGGAGAGTTTATGATTGATAAAGACAACTAATTCGAAGCTATAAGAAACATACAACTAAGGAAATCAACAACGGGGGAAACCATTACCCTAGACCTTTATTCCAATTGTTTACAATTCAAGCATAGTTAGTTTTTAGCTGTTTATTTATTTTCAATCTTGTCTTCTTAGTGATATTAAACAGATACATCTAAGCCTTAGTTCTCTGTGGGATTCGACTCCGGACTTATAGACCGGATTATATTTGCAGCGACCGCTTATCCTTTTTAGGACTAGAGTTGGGCGTGATCAGTATCACGGTGATCCTTCCATGTGTTAGACTTTAGCTCGGTCAAATTGGACAAGGATTTTAATTATGAGGAGAAGCCGGTGGCTATTCTAGCCCGGCAGGTCCGGCAGTTGAGGTCTAAGAGTTATCCTTTAGTTCGAGTGCAGCTGATCAAGGCAGCCACGTGGGAGTCCGAGTCGGACATGCGGAGTAGATATCAACACCTTTACCCAGTCCAGGTACTTTTCTATGTCCTTTCGAGGACGAACGTTTGTTTTAGAGGTATAGAATGTGATGACCCGATAGGTCATTTTCAATTTTAACCTTCCTTTCTATGTTCCGAGATCTCGAATAGCTCCGTTTAACCTTTCTCGATTTGCGTTCGTGTCTTTTTTCGAAAAGTTTTTATGAGAAAAATTGATGAAAGTATGAAATTGTGCTTTAAAACTCATTTGATTTAACGTAATTTGTTGAAAGCTAGCAATTTAAAGGTTTAAAGAATTTCTAATTTTGACCGTAAGCTGACTTTGTTGCTACCGGGTTCGGATATCGGTTCCGGAACTCGCAATAAGTTCATTTCAGTATTTATGACTTTTCTGCAAAATTTGGTGAAAAACGAAGTTGATTTGACATGATTCGGACGTCCGATTGAAAATTTGAATGTTCTTATATTTCTTTAAAAATTTATTTATTTTGGTGTCCGATTCATAGTTCTAGGTGTTACTTTTGGTATTTTGATTGCGTAAGCGAGTTAACATGATGTTATTACACTTGTGTGCATGTTTGGTTTGGAGTCCGAGGGGCTCAGGTGAGTTTCGGATAGGCTACAGAGTGATTTAGGACTTAGAAATATAGCTGATGACCCTCAGTTGTTGGTGTGGTCTGCACAGCTAGCAAATGCAAGGTGGGGGATCGCATTTGCGACATCTGGCCAAGCCTTTCATTATCATATTTGCGAAGTTTTCTTCGAAATTGCAAAAAGAGTCTGGGAACAACAGGGATCGCAATTGCGATCAATTGATCGCTTTTGTGAAGCTCTAGTGTTCGCATTTGCGAACAAACCATCGCAATTCCGATGGCATCAGAGATGTGGGTTTCTTCGCATTGGAGATGCATTTCTCGCATATGCGGGGTTTGCATATGCAGTTTCGCATATGCGGAGTTCGGCATTAGCGAACCCCGGGTCGCGATTGCGACATTTGCGCCTGGACAAAAGCTGAGAAAAACGGGATTTAGCTCATTTCATTAAAACTCTCAACCCTAAACACCCTAGAGTCGATTTTTCCAAGAGACTTTCTTCTTAAATTCATTGGTAAGCAACTTTAATCTATTTCTTTTAAGTTACCCATTACTTTTAAGGTGTTTTCAATATTAAATCTAGGATTTCCATGGTAAGAATTAGAGATTTGGGTAGAATTAGGAATTTTTGTAATTTTGGGATTTAGATCTCGAATTGAGGTCGGATTTCAGAACTAATTACATAACCGGGATTGAGGGCGAATGGGTAATCGAGTTTTGGTCCGAATCTCGGATTTTGACCAAGTGGGCCCAGGGTTCACTTTTGTTGACTTTTTAGAAAAAATGTAAAGATACTAACTTTATGTATTGTAAATGATTTCCCTATCACTGTTTGTTGATGTTAAGTCGATTTTGGTTAGACTCGGTTGGTTCAGAGACGAATAATAGAGGAAAGGCCCTGATTGAGCTTTGATTTGCTTGCGGAGCGAGGTACGTGTTGGGTCTAACCTTGATTTGAGAAAATTAGAAACAATTGGACTATGTGTTATGTGAATTACATGTATAGCGGTGTATATGCGAGGACACGAGTGTATATACGCCGCCAAAATAATTATTTTCATACTTTTTCGTATTTCATTAATTATTTTTTCCATGTCTTAATTGTTACATATCTTAAATTGCTTCCTTTGCCTTAACTTGCTACTTGCCACTTATTATTCTCGTATTAAAATCTTTATTTTTCCCATGCTTCCAAGATTAATTGCTACTTGCCTTAATTGTCTTACTTGTACACTTTAATTGTCTTGTATTTGGCTCGTCTTGTTGCTTTGTATTAATTGTAGCATTCTTTGATTTGGTACGTGGTTCCTTTATGGCTTTGCTTTTATATTCTTTAATCGTAGTGATTCTTTTGAATTGAGTTGTTGAGTTAATTTTATTTATCGATTTTATTTTTGATCTGGTTGCATGCCGCAACGGGTGGAATAAGGGAGGATTAATATTGATATGGTGGGATCGGGTTGCAAGCGCCACAACGGATTTTATATGTAATATTAATATGGTGAATAAGGGAAGATTATGATATTGATTCTAATTATATGGTGGGATCGGGTTGCGCGCTGCAATGGATTTTAGTTTGTTATTCTTGAGGTTGATATGGTGGAATAAGGGAGGATTGTGTTTATGCAATGCGATCGGTTGCGCGCCACAACGGATTGTATGTTTTGTATTCCTTATTACATTGTGTTAGCTTTCAGTGTTTTCATACGAGGATCTGAAGACTGATATTTTTGGTTTTGTTGATTTCGAGGATTGAGTTTATTTACATAAAATAATTAACTGCTTTACTTTTCCCGCATTTTTTCCTGTTATTATCATTATACCGCGTACAGGTAAGTGACCCTCCTTAGCCTTGTCACTACTTCGTCGAGGTTAGCCTCGGCACTTACAGAGTACATGGGGTCGGTTGTACTCATACTACACTCTGCACTTCTTCTGCAGAATTTGGACTTAATCCTAGCAGCGGTGAGTAGATTGCTCGAATTGATTGCCGGTTCGGATACTTGAGGTACAGCTGCACGGCGTTCGCAGCCCTGAAGTCCCCTTCTCCCTTGTCCTTGATGTTTATTTCATTTCAGATAGTTTACTTTTATTTAGACCAGTATTTGTATTATTCTAGTCGCTCGTGCACTTGTGACACCAGTTCTCCGATTATATCTAGCTATTGTCGTTATTTTGGCTTATTCACTCTATTTCTGCTTTAATTCAGTTATTTCGGTTTCTTGATTACTATTTAATTTGAACGGTTAAAAATGGATAAAAACTATTCTAACGTTGGTTTGCCTGGCAAGTGAAATGTTAGGCGCCATCACGATCTCATGTGTGGGAATTTCGGGTCGTGACATTACCCTATTTGCACAGTATAATCGTTTAACGATGGATGCAATTCTTCCACCGAGCTCCACCACTGTGTTTAGCAGCATAATCCTCAGCTTAAATTTTTTCAGACATGTATATATTTTTCGTGGCATTCCAATATCTATTTAGTGGGGAACTGAAAATGGTGCAATATGAATGATGTGAAGCAGGAACTGCATATATCTCTATTTTCACAAGGAGAGATGAATCGTATTATGCTGCTGAAGTGCTGATTAAGTAAGGCCTGAAAATAAGCCTATATGCTGACCATAGAAACACCAATAGTCTGGTTACCATAGTTTCAGATTAAATCTAGTATGAGTGAAATAATTATTTAAGTGCATCTGTAATGCCACTTACTTGAGATATAGCTAGATGATGAGTATTATCAGTTTTCACTTATCCGAGATTTTAATATATTATGCTCTTTTGTCAATAAAAGGTGTTAATCATCATTGACCATTATATAAGGAGGACAAACTTGCAATGTGTATTGATCTGCCAAATTAAGTCTTGTTAATCGTCCGATCTACTTTTCCCTATATATAGATATACATTTTTATATATATATATATATATATATATATATATATATATATATATATATATATATATATGTATATATATATATATATATATAATACCAGGTTTAAGACGTGAGATATCAGCAAAACTTCTCATCTTCTGCAATTTGTGTTTCTTATAATGAATTAATGTACTCTCCGAAGCCTTTCTCCGGTTCTTCTAGTTGAGAGAATGATATATATTGGGTGAATTTGATTGATATTATCACATATTAAGTTGATGGATATTTCATATCCTTTCTGCTGCTAGCTTGTTATGCTCTGTTAAAGAAATTCTACCCTTTGGATTGCTCGATATATGCACCTGAGGCAGAGAAAAACATAAATAGGAAAGGAGGAATCACAATTTTAATTTTTTTTATCACAAGTACAGTTGAGTCAATATTCTCATAGATTATGGTTTTCTAATTAAAGTTGTTTCAAAGGCCAACTGTGGTGTTCAATTTGCTTTTCAAGATTGCAGCTAATGCATCACTTCAAACACATTCTTTATGTGAGTTCCACTGTTTCTTCTACGCTTCTACAATTTAACCTGTTAAAAAAGAAAAAGATATAGTTTATTGATCAAAGATATATTCTAGATTAGTACAAATAATCTATGTATTATTGTCATCTTTTTTGTCTCCGAAACTGTAATGCCCACAATAATAGTCATAATAGTATTCTGTAGTGAGTGTTTGCAATGAATTTGTGCAGAAAAATAAAACTGCAATCATAAACAATTATAAGAAAAAATGATTTTATTGATAAATATTGCAGGTCACAATTCTGTTTATCCTTTGATTCTATTTCTCGAATGTATGATGATACGCATCTCGTTGATGTATTTGATGATCAAGAAGTGTTCGATCACATCTTGATCTCTTTGTGAGTATCCAGTGACTTTATGAGATATCCAAGATGATTTCAATTTTTTTTTTTTTTGAGATCTTTTTTTAAGGAATTATGTAGCCCTTTTTATAGGAGTGACCTGGGTTAGGGTAGAGTAGCTTTCAAGTTAGGATTTTGGTAGAGTAGCCGCCAAATTACCCCAATAGACTCCTAGAATTTCAAGAGTCGTCTTATAGTATCTTGAACTTAGAATTTAGTTTGATCCGTTAAAATTCCGATGTCTACAGTAAGTATGCTTAATAATATTTTGTAGAATTTTAAACAAATAAAATCTGTACCCGCATATTACAGTAAAACTAATTCTTGATTTTGGTGTCAAACGACTCCTTGATGTGGCAGTTGGCAGTCATTGATCCAATTTTTCTTCAGTATGATGTTGTATTTAGAGCTCGTTTGGCTAAGCTGCCAAAATCTGCTTATTTTGAAAAGTACTTTTTTTCATAAGTACTTTTTTCAAAAGTACTTTTGGAAAAAAATAGTTTGTGTTTGGCCAATTTATTTAAGAAGTACTTTTTGCAACATTTGGTAAACAAATTTTGTTTGGCCAATCTTTCTAAAAAGTACTTTTGAGTGTCAAATTACTAAAACTATAGTACTAAGGTCTTATAATTCTTCTAAAGAGAAAAATGAACTCAAATATTTGTCGTAAGAGACTATTATTTTTATTTTATTTAATTAAGATATAAAACATAAACTAAACAAACATATTAAAGATTTAAATCAATTTTACACATATAGTTATACCAAAGCATATATTAATAATCTAGTATAATTACTTATTGTTACATGATGATTTAAATCATCAAAATACATCATTCAGTGTGAATTAGAAGTCTATTCCACAAATTACTATATTGATAATCTATCATGAAATAATAAGTAAAGTCACACACATATGATAATATTTCTCAACAATTTCATATCTACGTCTATCACACAACGTCTCCATATTAGTAGAAGACTTACCTTGCATTTCTAAAGGAATATCAGAAGGTCCATCTCCTTCCTCAATCTTTGCAGTAATGTCTTCATAGTATTCCTTATCGGTAGAAGAATGTCGTAGGATGAAATTATGTATAGCCATGGTAATTGTAACTAGATGATTCTGAGTGTCAAACTTGAAAGATGGCATTGAACGTAAAATAGAAATAATTTTAAATATATAAAAATATATTTTTTTTTTGTAAAAAAATAGTTAGATATGTTTAAATTCAAATTCAAAGAGAGTAATGAATTATTAACAACACATAATGTATAATTTTTTTTTAAATTTAAATTCAAAAAGAAACTAATTAGTATTACCTAACCTTACTAACTTTGTCCTAAATTGCCAAGTGGCCGGTTGTCAGGATGCCACTTGGCTTAATGTGTGGTGCTTTTTCTTCTTCTTTTAATAATAGATAGATAGATTATGTGATGGAATTGTAAATTTATTACCTATTTGTAGGTAATTCTCACAAATTAGATTTGATAACTGTTTTAAAGATTCGAGAACTAATAGCACATAACAGAAAATTATAAATGATTATTTGTAGGAAGAGATTTTATAATCCAAAGAAGGATGTAGATAATTTGCTTTAGTGTAAAAAAAAAAAAGAAGATAATTTGGAAAGTTAAGATATTACACAAAGAACAAATCAAAAACAAGAAAGTCAATAAAGAATTTGGAAAGTTACAATATGATCATGTATATGATATCTTTAATTTTAAAAGATTGGTAAAAACTAGAAACAAAAATGAAAAGAAAATACTTAAATTAGTAAGGGATAATTTGGAAAATATAAATTTATGGTGAGGATAGTTTTGTCTTGAATAAATTAATTTTCCACTTCTGCTTCTGCTTCTTCCCAAAAGCAGAAAAACTGCTTCTGCTGCTGGCCAAAAGTACTTCTCTATATTGGCCAAACAACTTAAATTATTTTAAAAGTACTTTTTTGAAGGAAAAAAGTACTTTTGGTCTCCCAGAAGCTTGGCCAAACAGGCTCTAAATATGGATGGCATAGAGGTGTTTTCATTAGATTATCAATGTAGTTAAACGGATTATATCATCAGGTCATTACATTCTTCTCTATGTTACTAACTCATGCTTATTATAGACGATCAATCATTGGAGTATTACTTTACTTTGTGCATAATTGGTTAATGTAAAGTTCTTTGCAGAATCAATTATTATATAACTTATACATTTCCTATTTGCAGAAAAGATGGATCAAACCTAGGCTGGCTTATGCTCGGAATGTTAGTTTTCCTTTTATGGCACAAAAACTGACTTATAATCAATTTATATCCAAATAAAACTTACCACCCGAAAGATGCTGATTAATTATGGCTTAGGGGAGCAATTTCGTGCGGCTTAATTATGAATATTACACCAGAAAATTGGATTACTTTTGACAATGTACTGCACAAATAAATAATTAACCATTAATGTGTAATTGTTTCCTCTTGTTGATCCTTCTTTTCCTATAAATTTTGTCATAAAGAAAAAAGTTTACCAATTCCTCTAGGACTCGGAAATATTTTTGCTTTACCTAAGCATAACTAAATTATTAAATAATATTACATTATATATATTTATTTAATGTTAAGATGTTCCAAGAAAGTCTGGCTTATAACTTGGAAAAGAAGGCGTATACTGCAAAAGTGTAACAAAAAAATCAAACACTTGACTCCCACTGATAATGGGAAACAAACTGCAAAAACTAGGCAAAAATCATTCAGAACAAAACCAAGAACACAAATCACAAGTGACAGAATTACCAGATGAACCTCAAAATTTCACCTGCGAAATTTGTATCGAGCCTATGTTGTTACCCAACAAAAAATTCAAGAACCAAAATCTCTGCATCCATCCATTCTGTACCGATTGTATCATTAAGTATATTACCGTCAAGCTTGAGGACAACATTGGCAACATTCAATGTCCTTCTCTAAATTGTCCCCATCTTTTGGACCCCATATCGTGTCGAAATCTTGTCGGCCCCGAGCTATTTGTTAAATGGTGCGACGTGTTATGTGAATCCGCTGTTTTAGGGTTGGCTCAGTGTTACTGCCCAAATCAGAATTGTTCGGCTTTGATTTTGGACGAGTGTGGTGGGAATGCGAAACAATCCAAGTGTCCAAATTGCAAAAAGTTATTTTGCTTTAAGTGCAAGATTCCATGGCATGCTTCGTTACGCTGTGGGGAAGTTAACGACGGCGCTTTTCGTGAGCTTGCTAAGAATAATAAGTGGAAGAGGTGTCCTCGGTGTCGCTACTTCGTTGAACGTATTCAAGGTTGCAAATTTATCTACTGCAGGTTAGTTTAATTTGTTGTTTCCTCTCCTTTCTTTTTAATAATATATAGATTCTCTTTATTCTTTACCTATGGTTAATGTTAATAGAGATATATGAAAATTTTCATCTTTAATTGGGATGGATTACAACTTCTAGGGTTAGGATTATACTGGAGTCTGGACTTTTTGCAAATTGTTTTGGTATTAATGAACTTTTTTTTTTTTTTTTTTTTTTTTTTGTGTTTGAGAAGAATTAGGGAGTGCTAAAATCCTACGGTGGGATTTTTACGGTACACATCGAGATTAGTCAGATCATTGGATACCGAAAGTCAAATAATTAAACAAAAAACTGAGAGAGAAAAGGATTAGCGTGAAACAATCATGCAAATATTTAGTATTGAATTGAAATGGGTCCAAATAGAGCAGAAGTTTGGGATTGAAGGGCGAGTGATTGATTGATAAGGTTTAAACTCGAGTGAAGTAATTGTGGACATCAGAGAAGCCATGATTACATTTAGCTATTTGGTAGTAGAATTGTTAGCTATTATAACCAAAAGACAGAGGAAACAAAAGAATGTAACATTAATTTCTCTCCCCTGCATCCAAGGGGAGTGAGGACTAAAAAGTTGCTGTTTGGTAGTAAGAATTGTTAGCTATTACAACCAATGTTTCATGAGGCGTGGGCGTAAGATGGGTGTTTTGCATATGCCTCACCGAGGCGTAAGCTTCATAGGTATTTAATTTTAAATATTTTATAAAATAATTTTAACATTTCATAATATATATATATATGTGTGTGTGTGAGAGAGAGAGCGCGCGCACCCGCGCTTCATTCCCACAAAAAACTAATCAAAACAATCTATTATACGCTACTGAGAAGCACAAGTAACTTGAGTTGAAAAGAATAAAGTTTTCTACATGGAGGAACAAAAAGGATGACTAACCTGCAATTTGAACCTTTGAACTTGCTGCTATGAAGGAAAATGGAGTTCTGTTTGTATTTGTAAAAAAAGCAAATTGAATATTCGTTGCTTTTGCAAGATATAGCAGGCTAGCGGACAAGATAAATAAGTATAGGATTGTGTTATTATATACATCCAAGGGGAGTGAGGACTAAAAATTGCTGTTTGGTAGTAAGAATTGGTAGCAATCAATGTTAAAGGTTAATAATCTGTCTTTCACTGCATACCTAGTCAGCAATGGTATATTACGATTATTTGAATCAGGAATTGCATATTTTCATGAAAAAATATGTATGCTGTTTGAATTTGATTGATATTTATCACACTATGCTTTGTTAAAAAATTGCACTCTTTTAATTTTGATGTTACAGAAAAAAAGATTTTTTTTCTGATATTCAACCATAAGAAGTGGAAAAAGGGGTTCAACTTTTTGGTGTGTTACTTTAATCTAATTCTCTTTTCATTTGTGTGTAGGTGTGGTGTCATGTTCTGCTACGGCTGCGGCAGACGAGTTAATGGGCACTCGTGTAGTTGTGTTTCTCCGTTGTCCATTATCATGGAATTTGTGGTTCCTTCTGTTATTATTCTAGTTTTGTTTTTCGTCATGTGGATGCCCGTGTTTATCTCTTAAAAACTAGACTTGTTCTATTACTTTGAGGTTCAATGATAAATATTAGAATATTTGCTTGTTGTGTGCACTTTAATTTCTCTTCTTTTATTTTGGAATTTGCGGGCATTCCTCTCACTCCATATGTGGTATATGGTTGCTGCAAAGAGGAAATCCAGAATACTGCCCTTAGGCCTCCTAGTATTGAGCTTTGAGAACCACTGAACTTCAGGTCAGGGGCGGAGATAGAGCACGACCTACGGGTTCGGCAGAACCCAATAGCTTTTGTTCAAACCATGTATTTGTTTTAAGAAATTTATCGAATATATATAGAAATTATTAATTTAAACTCAGTAACTTAAACAGATTAAATTCTCGAACCCGTAAACTTCAAATCTTGACTCCGCCTCTGTCACACTTCCTTCTAACTCCTATCCAAGTCAATATGGTATGCTACACATGCATGTCTAGAGTATGAATGTACCACCACCACCTACTCAGTCTGTCCACAATGGAGAGTCTACCCTAAGATAAATTGGTGATTAGGGAGCAAGTCTTTAATCAATACTATAAGTTTCTTTCAGGGGACTTTCTGATAAAGAGGAAGAAATGTATCATAAGCTTTCTTGATACTAAAGCCATTGTTAGCAGAGAACCTATTCAGAGAAGCCATTGTTGATGTTCCACCAGGCTCTCGCCTCAAATATTTTCCTTACTAACTAGCAAACTTGTCTGCTTTGGAGAATCAATTGTTGTCAGTTCTCTTTCCTTTATATAGAAGTTATATACGTATCAGAGAAAATAGCATAAACAAGAATAACAGAAACCCACAAGGAAGTTTGTACAGATGTAATTTATGTATTTGCCCATGAATTACTCACCATTGAGTGTGGGAGTTTTCCCAATTTCGTGCTTGTTATGTGGGAGAATATCCAATGCTCGAAACCCCAAAATAAGAGTCTTTCCCGAAATAAGCGTTTTTGCCAACTTAAGACTTTGAAAATAATTTTACCATCAAGACATTTTCGTATTAACTTAAGACCTGAGAAATCTCTAAGATAGTTGGGGCTGTTCATGAAATATAATAAAAGATACTCCTAGCTAGTATGTTGCATATGCTTTTTGGTGAATATCTGGTACATTACATAAAAATGAGATATACATAAAACTTTATAATTTTATTATTGTTTTTTCAACTAAATTAAAATGGAAAGGTGAAATAAAGGTTAATGTAATTTAGTCTTTTAGTTGTTTTATCCATACAAAAATTCACATTTTCCCCAAAAGTTGAAACTGGGGTAGTAATAACGACGTTTTGGCGATGATTTCGCCCGAAAGGTTCTAAAGTTGTTATTCAATTAAAATTATTTTACGCAAATCCCTTTCAAGTCCTTCCGACCAATCGGCGAGAATGTGCAAAATCAGAGGTCATGAATATTTTGTCCCGGAGCCGTCAAGAAATGAGAGAAATAAAATGAAAGAGTCTTATTGGTGAAAACCTTCACGGGCACCGTATGGCGATGGTAAGTGGAGAAATTAAAATGAAAGAGTTTTGTTAGTGAAAACCCGCAAAGAGCACTATAAGGCGATGGTGAGAAGAGAAATGAGAGGGTTCGGATGATGAAAACCCGCAAAAGGCACTGCTGATCGAGAAGAGGTTCCTCACGGCCATAGTATCAACACAGTCCTGGGCAACGCTTCTCCATTTTAAGATAAAAGTTGTGATGAGTTTCTCAGAGTTGGACGGTTTACACAGATCAAGCCTCCTGTCAAAAAAAACATGTGCTAGAATATGAATAAGAGATGAAGAACACACAAGCTCTGCAACGGAGGAAAATTGTGGCAGAAGATGAGAGAAGAAATTTTTGCGTAAATGATAATCGCCTTGCTTCTCATTACCGGATTAAGAGTATTTATACAACTTCTAAACAGAAGTAATTAACTTCTAATTAATTGTTCTATTATTATCTTTTCTGTTGCGGAAGATAGTGGGTTAACTAGCATATATACAATCACACACAAAGCAAATAAAGAAGAAAAATCAACACAAGAATTTAACGAGGTTCGGCTAAGCCTAATCCTCGGGGCAGAAGTAGAGAGAGTATTCCACTATGAATGAGAATAAAAGCACAATACAATCTATAAAATCCCAACTACAACCTCTATATATAGATCCCAAATAGCCCAACCCTATAAGAGAAAGGTTTCCCAATTTGACAAGGATTATAGGTTTTCCTTTCCCAAATCTATTAGGACAACGGATTTTCCTAAACCTATAGGGATTATGAATTTCCTAAAAATACAAGGAAATTGTTCAAGCCACAAAATAACAAATCTTCCCCTTGGCTTTGAATTCTCTTCATCAATAGGATCAACGTCTCTTTACCTTGCCCTCAGCCCTCACATGGGCCCTACCCATTTTTGCACACATCAACCAAGTCGTGGCAACGCCTAAACTTGTTAAGAGACTCAATCTCTTCAGCCATAGCACTAATCCGTCAATTTGATTCAGTACCCGGAATTGCTTCTGGATAGCTGTAACACTCAAACGAATCAACGGTCTCTACAACTTCCAAAGCAAATCCCATAGGATTCGTATATCCAAGAAGATTCCCATCAACTACGTTTGCAAACCTTTGTGGTCAGTTGATCACTCATTTCTCTTTGTCTGTTAGAATGCTATATGGTTGTTATTGCGCATGTGCATCAAAATTATCATCTTGATCAATATTTAGCACATCCTCTACTTTCTCCACTTTAGAACTATTGGGCTGAGCTAGTGTAGATTCAATTTCTAGCTCTATACGGTTACTAACACCACGATATGTTTCTGCTATTGCCTTCTCCCTATGACTGTCCAAAGAGACAGATTCATTGAATGTTACATTCCTACTGATAATTAGCCCTAGAGTCTTTTGATCTGTGCAGCACAACCTATAACCTTTCACTCCAGTTGCATACCCTAGAAATATGCACTTTTTTGCTCTCGGCTCAAGTTTTTCATCCCTCAAATGAGCATAAACAGGACAACCAAATATCCTTAAATTTGAATAATCAGCAGGCGAACCAGACCATACCTCAAAAGGAGTTTTGAACTCAATAGCTGTGGATGGAGATCTGTTGACCAAATAACAAGTTGTATTGATTGCTTTAGCCCAAAAATCCTTGCTAACACATTAGTGTGAAAGCATGCTTCGTGCCCTATCACAAAATGTTCTGTTCATACGTTCTGCAATACCATGTTGTGGTGTTCCCACACAAGTGCGGTGTCTCACTATTCCCTCTCTACTGTAGAAATTATCGAACTCAGAATTGCAAAATTCCAACTCATTATCAGTTCGCAAACGCTTAACTTTTATTTTCGTCTGCCTCTCAACTATCGTCTTCCATTTAACAAATGTCGGAAATGCCTCATCTTTTATTTTCAGAAAATACACTCACACCATCCTTGAGTAATTTTCAATCAAAGTCATAAAATACCTGGCACCACTCTTGGAGGGAACTCTGTTTGGACCCCACAAGTCTGAGTGTATATAATCTAACTTGTCTCTGGTCTTGTGCTCGTCCTTCTTGCTGAACTTTACCTTTGTCTGTTTACCAAACACACAATGCTCACAAAACTTAAAAACTTAATTTTTTTACCCATTCAGCAAATTCTGCTTCCTCAACAAAGACAATCCATTATCACTCATATGACTAAGTCGCAAGTGCTACAACTGAGACTGATTTAGATAACTTTTCCCACAAGATACATCAGCTTCCCCTTCAACTACACTGGCCTGAAGATGATACAATTTAGAATGCAGTTTACCCTTCATGAGTACTATAGAGACTTTACACACTTTAAGTATTCCATTATCGGAGTTAAATTTATACCCTTGATCATCCGAAGTCGAAATAGAAATCAAATTTCTCTTTATCCGAGGAACATACAAACAATCAATATTTCTGATAATTCCATCGAACATTCTCAATTTGATGTTACTAATCCCCTCTACTGCTAATGAATTATCATATCTCATGTAGACAGTTCCACTCATTTGCTTGTAAGTTGCAAACCAATTCTTATGTGGACATATGTGGAAGTAGCACCAAAATCAAGAACCCAAGAATTCTGCCTATGACTAGAACTCACAGCACAAACTTCCCCTACATGGTCACTCTCATCAGAATTATTGCTAGTGCCAACAATATTTGCCGAATTATCTATTTTCTGCTTCCCTCTTTTCTCCTTCAGCTTAGGACAATTTCTCTTGTAGTGACCTTGCTCCCCGCACTCATAACAGTGTTTCTTTCTTGCTCTAGACTTTGATCTGGCATTTGACTTTTTCCTGCTAAAGTCCTTTTGTTGTGTTCTTCCTCTAATCACAAGACCCTCGCCCTCAATTTTTCTGTATCGAAAGCTCTTTTTCAACTTTTTAGATTTTAGTGCATTACTAACATCTTCCAGTGAAATGATGTCTTTCCCATATAGCAGCGTATCGGCAAAAGTATCATAAGACGGTGGTAAAGAACATAACACAATCAAGGCCCGATCCTTAATCTCAATTTTGATATCCACATTCTTCAGGTCCATTATAATTGAATTAAACTCATCAAGGTGAGTTTTAACAGGTGTACCTTCGTTCATACGGAGATTGTATAACCTTTTTTCAAGTAGAGGCGGTTTGTTAGCGATTTCTTAGACTACAGATCTTCCAGCTTCTTTCATGCTGTTGCTGCAGAAGTTTCTTCAGCAATTTCCCGAAGAACGCTATCTGTAACGCTCATGAAGATCGTACTCAAGGTCCCCTCCTTCAGGTCTGCCTTCTTTGTCTCTGCCATCTCCTCAGGAAAATCCTCATCAATTGTCTTCCATAACCCTTGTAACACCAGGGTCGATTTCATCCTAATCTTCCATAGACTGAAACTAGAACCCCCGTCAAATTTCTCTACTTCGTACTTTGTTGAAGATGATGAAGACATCTTAACCCTAGATTATATGTAGAAACCCGAACCTTGCTCTGGTACCAATTGTTGCGGAAGATCGTGGGTTAACTAGCACACAATCACACACAAAGCAAATAGAGAAGAAAAATCAATATAAGGATT